CAGTAAGTGTAATGTCTGTACCTGGCCTATGAGAGGAGACTAAGTGATTTGGCTTGTTTGACTTATTAAAATAAGTCAAGGGGGCAGGGGTGGGCAGGATAAAAATTGCTTCTCATAACTGTATCAAGCAGGGTAAAGCCCAGGAAGGGAGAACAGCTATTTCAGTTGCAGGACAGTGCTGCCAGAACAGCAAACAAGTTTAAACTGGTCAGGAATCAATTTAGACAGGAAATCAGAAGAGGGTTTGTAAACATTAGAAGTACAAAGATTCTAGAACAGTTTCCCTGGAGAAACACTGGAGCAGCAACCTGACTGGTTTTTATAAGAAACAGCCTGATAATTTTTTAACAATATTATCAGAAGTGACTATTTATCATAAGAAGGGACCCATAATATCCTTCCAATCTTATGTTTTTTTCCATAGTAGAGAAATGTTTATAGAATGATCCACAGAAAACCAGGGAGAGCATCTTTCTCTGCCTCTTTCTTCCTCTCTGCCCCCACCCCTCCCATTTAGTTAACTGTGTGACAGAGCAATGGTAAGAGCCATTTGGTAAGAGCTGCAGCAGCACAGCTCTTACGACATGGGTACATTTACCCTCTTTCTTCTTAATTCTACCCACAAGATTCCAGGAAAACAGACTAAAATGGAATACCTGAAAGTTGTTTTAGACACGAAACCTTTGGAACTGAAATCATGCAAGCTTTTCAAACAGGTCCTGCCAGTATATATCAAACAGAGCTTGAGACCACAAGTTCAGTTACATTCTTTTGTAAGAAAACTTGTAAATTTCCTTGCTTTGAATGTTGTACGTCATGGTGTTCTTGCTTGTGCATCAAAAAATTACATGGCAGTAACTTTTAAGAGAAGTGCATTTCCTCAGGAAGTTTGTGTGGTTTACCAGGAGATGCAGAATTGTTAGAAAAGACCCACTGCTTTAGACCCAAGCTACAGATTAAACAAAATTATGTTTATTGCTTTGCCCCTTTCTTTAAAAATAGATTGCCTTTTTCTCCTGAATCACTGAATAATCCTAAAAATACAGGTAGTCAAGTAAAGTTGGAAGCATGAGAAGTATGTAAAAAAGTTCTTAGTCAAATACACCTCATACACAGGCCCATATTTTCAAAAATGGCCTGAAAGCTTTTGAACATAAATTACATACAGAGATACATACAGCTAAGATAATTGGTTTGTGAAATTGTGAAGGTGCTATGAGTGGTTTCAGCACTCATAGCACCTTCTACCAGCAAATAAATTGAATTTGAGTGAAAACATTTATTATATCCATGTGCAAATGTTTGCGACTACAACCTCACGTGTGCATATACTGAAACCAGGTTGAAGCCCCCTTTGAAAACCTGCTCTAGGATTTGCATCTTTGCTTTTAAAGTGACAAAGGGCCAGACTTTTCTGTGATGGTAAAGGATGAAGATGAGTTATACGTCAGAGAGCACAGACATGAGTCTCATTTGGTTCCTTTGCTATTGTAGTGATATTTGTCTTATTTTTTTCTTTGTTCAAGCAGAAGGAAACGTCACCCCACTTGGGCAGAGAGAATCAACAGCACAGGTGAACTTGTGCGAGAGAGCGGTCAGAACTGTGGTCTACAAAAATGTATATTCCTCTTCCCAGCACAAACTCCACCGTCTGCCAAAAGTGTTATGCTATAAATACAGGTTTAGGTAAGCCCCTTCCTAACCATATCTTCCTATAGTGATGGATTTGTGACTAAAGGGCCCACTGCTAGGGAAACCACAGCAGCACAACAGATGCACATCTTGGATAGTTAAGAAAGCCCTCTCTCTTCAACCTTCATGAACTTCCATGCTACCTAAGTGGCCAGCTGCAAAAAGCCTCGAAATAATGACAGGTATTAAGGTGCAAAAACATTTAAAGCCGAAGTTCCTATCAAATGGCCCTCCCCAAGTTCATACCTTATTAAGGCGACTTATTTCACATTCATAGTGCTCTTGTTTTCTAGCCATTGAAGCATTTTTTTCTTTCAGACGCTTGTTCTCTTCCTTCATTCCATGCAAGGCTTCATTCTGGACTTCTTGCTCTTTCTGGAATGTAAAATATATATAAGTTGATTCAGTGCAGCTGGAAGAATTTTCCAAGAATGATTTTCAGAATCTCTTCCATCTGGCAATCGTGTTGTACTGCTGTTCCAGGGAATTATGCCAAAGTGATGGTGAGAAAGAAGCAGGAGAACAAAGAGTTAGCAGAACCTTAGAAAGTCTTTTGAGGCTGCATCCACCAATCACCTTATTATTAGATAGAAGGACAACATGCCAGACCAAATCCTGGTCCCCTTGTGCCCATTTTGTGGTCCTTGGTTGCACAAAAAGAGCCAAAAAACCATGTGGCTAAATAGATGAGGCAGCACAGAGAGGACTACACAACCCCACATTAACCCCTGGTATAAGTGGCAAATTCACATGATCTCAGCAGTGGTCCAGCAATCATGGTAGTGGAATACTTATGTGAGAGCCACAGCAGATGATAGTTTACGGCAGCCCGGAGGCTTCTCTGAAGATACTTCTACATAGCACAATGCAGTGCTTGACAAAGCTATCAAAGCTACCTCAGGTTACTGGAAAAAGTATTACCATGGTAGCACAGCACTTCCTCCAGCTAATTAGCTATGCTGAGAAGTGGAGCATATTTGCCCAGGCAAAGCATCATCATGCTGTATAGTCTCTGGTATTCAAGGTAGCTCATTTAATGCTCCAGTATCTCTACATGGTGCATGCAGATAGTTGCATTAGGGGTAAGATTAAGTCCCAGCAGGATGCAGGATCAGAGAGCAGCTAAAGTAGTTCACAGACACCTTCCTACACCTTTCCCCCAGCTGTGATGCCTGGAGCTTACCCACATCTATATGCTGATTCAGTGCTATTCCCATTAAGGACAGCACTATGTTACTTTATGATGATGTAGGAATTAACAGAACAGGCTTGTTAAACTTACAGTCTGATTCTGATCACACACCAGATATAGGCTGGTATTACTGTACTACTTTCAATGCAACTACTCCTGATTTACAACCGGATGGAGCAGAGATCAGAAATAGACTCCCAATGTGACTAGTATTGCACAAGTTCTTGACCAACTGCTCTCACAAAGGTAAGCACGTTCCTTGTTAGGCAACTTTGGTAGATTGGGTTAGATCAAAGTTATTTTGAGTTTTTTTAATTTAATTTTAAAAGCTTGTTTCTTCTTGTACAAAACAAAAGTCTTACTGTTAAGACTTTTCCTAATGCAGCTGCCTTGGGCAATAAAGAAACAAATGACAGTGATCCTAAATCTGCTGTGTTTAAACACACAAGGGACTATAAAACCCTGTCTTATGTGGAACAGGTGTGCCTCTGTTCAGTTAGCTACTACGTAGTTACTGCTTAAATGACAGGCAAAAAGTCCATGTGCACATCTACTCACTAATAAAGCAATATACATTTACAGGTGATATGGCTTCTCTCAATAGAACCCAAATTACTTCAAATATTTAATTTCTTGAAAACAAACTGGAAAGGATACCAGGGTATCTCCTGATTAATTAGAGATCAGTTTTTGCAAATTACTTTTTAAAAATCCTTAAATCCTCATAAATATTTCGATCTCTTCTTGCTTTGGTACTTGCAGTTCTCTCTAAAGTCTCCCATAACTCCCAATTCTCTAAATCCCAGCATATGCAAAATACAAATTTGTAGCTTGGAAAATAGTTTGTTTTGCTATTAGGTGTGTGCAGGTTTGTTATGAGTGACAAGTGTGTTAGAAGGATTGCTTATCAATTCCTTTCCCTCTTTCTTTTTTGTTCTGTGATCTGTATTTAAGATCATGCCATCAATATTCGGATCCCTTTCAAAGGTGTTAGCTGGGGACAAAAGATCCAATGAAATCTGAACATGGATGACTTGATAGCCTTTCCTAGTTGAATAGTTACAGCAAGAGGTCTCATAGGAAACTGTAGTGAAAATAAATAAAGGGACATGGCCTAAAAAACACAGCCAGTGAGAACTGGCACGGTGAGTCCAGACTGCTTGTTATCAAGGAAAGTAAAATAGGGGAAACTGAAGATAAGGCTAAACTCATAACAATACCAGTTGGCATCCTTTAAAGGGCTATACCACCATACCCTATACTCCAATCCCTCCGCAAAAGAAAGAGGAAATACGTACAGTCTGATAAAGACGCAGGAACAGCTGCATTTGACGCAGCCTTTTCCCAAGCGTCCGAATGCTAAGGGATGGCTATTCTTGAGTAAGCACATTCTTGAAAGTCTTTAGATCCTCAGCCAAAAAGAGAGGCTTGCTAATACCAACAGCACCTGCCACAGCGTATGTTATCCTTTCCAGTGGCTTCACAACTGCTGAGCTAAACCAGTTCAATACAGTTACAGACAAACTGTTTACATATTAGATAAGAACAGGATAAGTATTTTATGCTACACCTCTACATGTAGGCATGATCTCAGTTGCACAAGCAAGAGATGGATGAGTGGATGAGCCTGCCAACTAGTTCATAACAGTCCCAAGCAACTTAATCCAACACACTGGTTACAAGCACATGAACAAAGAATTTATCAGACAGACTTTTTGTAGATCTGAGGAACACCCAGCTATCCAAGTCCCAAAAATTATCCTACCCTCAGACACAGGGCAGCTAAAAATATAGTTCTCTAGAAGTAGGAGATTCTTCTCAGGAATTACTTTAAAGGAGGAACTTACTGTAAAATACAGACAAAGAAGGAAATACACTAGGATGTCCAAAATAACAACTACCAGACCAATCTAAACATAAAGGGAACTAGCATAGAATAAAGAAACATAACATGAGCTTAAAAGAATACCCATGACTTCGCAAGTCACTTCTGTCAGAAGAAGGGCTTTGACAGGTATCCTAGAGTCAATTTTTTGAGATTACTGAATCCAGGCAATCATGAATGACTGGAAGCTTTCAAAGAAAAGGGAATAGTATAGAGATGTCTCAGAGCCCTGCACAGTCCTACTTTATCAGTGTGCCAGCAGCAAGTCACCTACTACAACCAGTGTCACCCAACACACTCTGATCACTATGAGACTAATCCTATGAAAACCACCTTGCCCAGACAGTCACCACAAAGCTGCAAAAACTGCATATTTTTCAACACTTCTTTGCATGAAGAGATATTTGGTTTAAAAAGGCAACATATCTACATTTCTGACCAATTATGAAAGATCTTGAGAATTCAAGAGCAGCAAAGGTCTAAGAGTTTAATGTCTTAAGAGGCTAATGTAGTATAGTTTTGAACCTTTAGAACTGGATTACCACCCAAGATTTTTTTTTTATGACAACCTGCAATCTTTCTACTGACAACTGAACTTTTTTACTTTTTATCACACATTTTACATAATGAAATTGTAAGCCTGCCCTGGATGCCAGTAATAAGAGGCTGGTTCAGACTTAGGGCTTTAACACCAGTTTTCTAAATCTGGCTCAAGCCCCCACCCAGAAGCCTGGGGGAAAAGAAATTAACTGGATGCAAACAAACTTACACATGCACAAACAATGATCAACTAAAACAGGATTTATTATAGGGGGAAAAGCAATATACACATAACCTTAGAGAAAACCATAACCATTAAATATTAAGTGAACCTCAAACTGTTAATAGTCTAAGGGCCAGGTTGCATAAGACATTAGCACATGTTAAATGCACTTGAAACTCATGGGCCTGCACGTTCAAGCAGGATGATACAGGCTAAGTGCGCTTGTGTCGTATCAAATTTAAGATTTTCCAGCAAGTGTTTCCAGATTATATTAAGGAACACATGTTGAACTAACATTGGACTGCTCCATAGAAATAATATGATCAGTCGTGATCTCGAGGCTGGGACCTATAATTTGATTGTGGGTCCCAGCCCCAAACCACACAGGAGTCTTAAACTAGCTCCAGCGTAGTCCCAGCACTAGAATAAAAAATTAGCTAACTGCCAGTTTCAGCCCTTGGGACTGCATCCAAGCTGGTTGCAGACTCCAGTGCAGTCCCAGGGCTGGGACTAACAATCAGCTGATTTTCTGTCCCAGCCCCCACACCATCTAGTCTCAAACTAGCTCTCTTGTGGTTCTGGGACCTCAAACAACAATCAGCTGATTGTCAACCCAAAAAGAGGGTTGCAAGAATATATGGAAGGGTTGCAGACAGACTTTAAAAGTGGATCAACAAACTTTAAAAATGGATTCTCCTTTAAAGGAGAAAAATGTGGGAAACTGGTTTTTCCCTTGTGTGCTGGGAGAGTTCCAGCATAGATTCATAGATATTTGGGTTTGAAGGGACCTCAAAAGATCATCAAGATCTCTTTCCTCCGCTGCACTGCTAAGAAGGTTATCTCCCAGCTGATAGGTGTGCTGGTGATTCCCTCTCCCTAGGTGCAGCACCTTGTACTTGTCCTTGTTGAACTGCATCCTGTTGTTTTCTACCCACTTCTCTAACCTGTCCAGGTTAACATGGATTCAGTTTCTACCAATCAGTGTGTTTGTTTCACCCCATAGTTTGGTGTCATCTGCAAATTTGAACAGAGTGCTTTCTAAGCCATCATCCAGGTCACCGAAAAAGATATTGAACAGCACTGGCCCAAGGACCGAGCCTTGGAGAACCCCACTGCCCACATCTTTTGAGGTCAATACTGACCCATCCACCATGCAAGGGGCTGCTTGAGCCCCCCCTTGCCCCACACAACCATCCCCTGCTTCACACACTGAGCAGCTGAGGCTTGGGTGTGGGGGGCAGCAGGTAAGGAGTGAGGGGCACTGGGTCAGGATTGACTGTTGATGTTTACAAAGGGGCCCCAGTACAAAAAAGGTTGAGAACCACTGGGCTAGGAAGACCAGACTGAGACTCCTTGGTGGCTGCTGCACTCCTGCTTAAACACAAGACGATGCTGCTATGCCTTGTTTGTCCATCAATATTTGCATCCAGGCTCATTTGGAAGGCAGATCTTCAATCAAGCTCATGCTTTCTTAGCTTTTTTTAAAAAAAAAAAACAGAGTTTACAGACAAGCATTTTTAGTCATTTTTAAAGGCTACCCATTTATGGACAATTGTCAATGCTGGTTTAGAGCCTTTCTTTGTTAGGGGGCATACAGTAGAAAAGTAAGGGTCTGTATCATGAGTCAGCTGTTGCATTCAACCATAGTCTCCGGTATGCTAGATCTCTAATCTCCACAGGAAGAAAGATCAGACACAGGCTCATTGAGCAAGGTCCTTAAGCTGATTTTTAACTTTACAAGCATATGAGTAGTCCCATTCTGCTAAAGTAGGGCTTGAGCTAGATGAGAAAAAATATCTGCTTGAACACCTCACAGTTCTTCAGCTGATCCACCTCACACAACTGGGTCTCTTTTCCCTTTTCCTTCCTAAATTCAGAGCAATTATATAAGATTACAAACCATCACTGCTATGTTCGCAGATGACATGACAAGTTTTACCTACAAAGATATGAGTTGGGGGTGGGGGGAGAAGAGCTCAGTTTATGATACAGCTGCTAATGACAAACTCCAGTATTTGAATCCTAGAAATGACCTGTGCCTTATACTGCTTCCAGATTGAGCTGTGGCTTCAGGCCTTGCAAGAAAACCCCAACTTCAAGTCTTAAGATGTGATCCATTCCTATTACAGGGTGCAGTGTATCCACTACTCTGATATAAATTGACATGATCACAGTAGAAAACCGTATTTTTTTTTTGCAGGATCAGGCTCCAATGTTACTAAGATAAAGAAGAACTTTATACATGCTTTGATATGTACTTCAAACATCCATTCTGATAATACAAGGCAGTAAAAATCATTGTGTATTTACATTTAAACATGTAGATATACAGCTGAAAGTATTATTGGTCACTCAAATACCTGCAGTATTTTTTTTTTATTGGAAACAAACAGAAAACTCACTTGAAAACTGAGCAAGCTGGAAGGGGACAGGTACAGAACTAATTCTGATCTGTATTCTTATCTCATTACTTAGGTAAGCTTTTGAGACCTGTGGCTCCTATAGATTTAGTTCTCATTTGCTTCTCTCTCCTAGCACTGCCCCCTTCCCCACTCTGCCCCCTATCTATCTCTCTATCCCATCTGCCTTGTCTTTTGTATTCTAATTTATCTCTCCTTATACTCTGCTTTCTGAACATCCTTTCACAGCATCTGATGAAGTGAACTTGGGTTCATGAAAGCTTGTGCTCTCTCTCTCTCTATGTATAAATACCTTAGTTTGCCTCCTGACTAACATGGACCTACTGTGAAAGCACTGTTTAAATTTCCCACGCTCACCCTTCCTCTCCACCAATAGTCTATTCATTTAGTCTTCCATCTACTTCTGGGGTGACACAGAAGTTATTTCCTCCCCAGTGGAGAATCTCTGATCTGAAGTCTCATCCACCCCCTCACTTCACCAACATAATGCCTGAGAACAAGCCCAACGTGCTATTCTCCTCTTGCTGGTGAGTAACCCATCTCTTACTAGGAAATAAAATGCACGTAGCACCTTGGAAGCAAACAGTTCAGTAGAAAAGGGTAACGTAGGGGAATCCTCCTACCACTTCCTGAAGGAACTTGTCTCTGGCCAGGCCTCTCAGCCCTTCACATTCTTGCTGATTTTGGTACTGCTCTTCCTCCAGCTCATGCACTCTCTTCTGTGATGCATCCAGTTTTGCTTTCACTTCTGCAAGCTGCAAAGCAAGCGCACACACTCACAGGCTGATTCAAGCCTAAGATGCTGAGTGATGCAGCATCCTTAAAACTCCTTCAAAATCTTTGTTCTCAGTAACTAGGCAGAGAAAGAGCAGGATTCGGTTAGGAGTGAATATTTTTCCCTTCCTTTTCCAAACCAGGCTTTCTCCATAAGATTATGGGGCCAAATTCTTAGCTGGTACAAATCCAGTTAGCTCCATTATTGATGATGCTGCCAATCCATAGAAGCTGAAGATCTGCATTTCTTTATGAATTTAATGCTCTTTTCATCCCACTGTGAGCTCCCTCTGCAATGATGTCATTCAATCAGAAGAGCAAAATTATTGATCATGCAACAACCAAGTCATTTTGATTTCTTTTTCTCCCTTTCACTCTAGCACTTTGGCTAGGGACAGACATTACACATAAATCTGTTTAAGTGATCAGAAACTGGTTTAAACCTGTAACAGAACAGAAGTTCAATGCATATAAACCAGTTTGAAAATGGCTGAAACCGGTTTGAGATAAACCTGGTTTAATGTAGTATCAGACTTAACTGATTTGGCTCAAACCAGTTAATGCAATGTCTGTCCCAGACCCCTTGCTGATTTAAGATAAACCAGACACCCCCAGCATCTCGGCATGCTCTCTGGGCTGGGCGGGGTTCTCTGCTCCACAGCAGAGTTGGCCCCTCCCTTTGCTCCCTGGCTGTAGCTCTGCACAGACTGCTGGCGTCTACCTGGCTTCCCCCTCACAACTCCCTGCTAAGCAGGGACTCCACCATCCCCTCTGCCTTACACAGCATTAGCTAGCAGACTACATGCTGGCTATGGTCCATGCTGTGGTAGACAGCACAAAGGGAGAATCAACAAGTAGCTGGTAATGTCCCTGTGTTGTTTCCTTAATGAGATGATAAACACCGAGTTAGGGGTGATAAACACTGTTATCAATTCCCTGCTGGGCTGGTCAGAAGTAGGGGAACCCCTCTCTAACCAAAGAATACTGCCAGGGCCTCAGTTCAGCACTGTTCAAGGGAAGGGCGCTCTAGCACCCCTCCACCCTCTGGCTTCTAGCCTGAGCCACTGCAGGCATGTGCTGGCATTTCTGGGATGTCTGTCCAGTTACAAAGCGGATTTAGCCTAGCCAGGTTAGAGTAACCTGCAAAGATTGAGTCAATTCAGGCTCAGGCTTTTTATATGTCTGTCTGTACAAACATTTTGAATGTTTGTAAGCATTTGGTGGAGAGGTGGGAAGGGGAACACACTTATCCTGCTACAAGAGCTGGTTGGAAAATTTCAGAGACAAAGGGCCTTTTTACAGGGTAATTTTGGGTGGCTCCTGGAGCTCTTAACACCTGGCCCATCCATTATTAACACCTGAAACCAATTTTAAACACTTGGTTAAGCAGCTCAAAAGTGCCCCAGTTCAGGGCAGGATTATCTCTGATCCTATATTACCTATCTTATGTCATTCTAAGATGTAGCCACTCTAGGCTACTCTTAATGTTAATACCCCACCTGCCTCCCCCTCCTATGCTGGCCCATATTGGGCCACTACCTTCCCCCTAGCCTCCATAGTACCTCAGATCCCTGATTGCTGTACCCTCCCCTTCTATATACTTGTAGCTGCCCACTCTGTCTGTCCTGGGGGAGCAAGCAGCAAAGAGTTAATCTGCCTACCTGGCTGTCACTGCTACATTCTGGGTGGGCTCAGCCCAGAGAAGAGCAGGAGTCTGGCAAAAATAAGTGGAGGGGCTCATTCTCTTATAAAGCACTACAAGCATGCTTGCATTGCTTTATACGATTATTTGATCACTTGTTACTTAAAAGAAAAAGAAAAAACAAGGTACAGGCCACCATTTTTATAAGCCAATTAATTACAATGTTTTCAAAGAAATGGCCATGGAACATATCAACAGGTGGGGAAAAAGAAACCTGATACTTTGATGCAAACAAGGGAAGGGGAACAAAAATATTTATTTAAAATAAAAAAAGAGAGTACAGAAGTCTTTCCTAGGGGTAACAGTAGGGTAGGGATTGGCAATATTTTTGGGCAGCATGCCAAAAACACCCACAACCTCAACTTGTAAAATACTGCCATGTTGAAACGGGTGGCAGGGAAGCTGTGAGGGGGCCAATCCTTGTTGTGACAGTGTAGTCCTGGCCCCTTCCATGCTGTCCACCACAAGGCATGCATGCCATGAAAAATGCCTTCACATGCCGCACTCTGTATTGTGGGTTGGGAGTGAGGGGCAATAGCAGGGCATGGGCATATCGCTGCCCCCCACAATCATATTCTTCCCGCCTCTGACAGGTGTCCTCTTTTTTGAAACAGGAAATATGGTGGTAACCCTACATAACAGAGACCAGAGGTAGAGCTTCAGATAAGATCCCTTTCACACTCTAAGGGGCCTCAATCTAGTGATTCATAAACCAATTTGGAAAGTAGCACTGAGAATGGGGTGAGGGTCCCTGGATCTGTCATGCATATTTAATGTCTTTGGCACACCCCACACACCTGTAAAGGAAACCTGACTTGACATGTTTTATGAACTTGTGGAGGGCATGAGGATGCCATTTGGATCAAAAAGACCTATTTATCTAACCACTATGAATCTCATCTCCAGTAAACAACTGCTAGAAAAATCATAATCTCATTAATTTATATTTTATATGGAAACATCTTAGTTTTTCCTTCTGTGGGAGTGAAAGTATAATGTGAATGTTTTTATACTGTTTAAAAAAAAAAAAATCACCATAGCTATGGTCTGCCTTGTATTTAAAGATGGAGCCACTGTCAGCTGGTAGCACTTTCTGACCTACACAAAAACAGTCAAAATTGTTACCTTTCTTTCATATTGTTTTTTCATACTCCTGAATTGTTGATCCCATTGTTTGTTCACCTCCAGCAGCTGTAATTAGCAACCAGTAATCCTCAGTCAACAAAATTTACTTACAATGCATTTTTAGATAAAAACAAACTAGCTAGCAAAGTTGTTCAACATCACCTCATTAATTCACCTTGGGGAAATGAAAGTTCAAAGGTTGCAAACTTTTGTGGCATATCTGCCAATTCTTTGCTATTTTTCACCCATAGTGCAGTCAAGGTGCAGTGACTCTGAGTTCACGAAGTGATATTTGCATCATACAGACACATGGCAAATAGCAGGTAATTCATGGTTAATAATGCAAATGCCAACCTACCACGCCCATGCAGATTCTTATTAAAGCCATCCCACGCTTTTCCTTATCTACAGTTTACAGTTTAATTAATTCAAATAAGCATGTTAATAACATCTGTGAACCTTTAAACCAGGTGTTTTTATGTAGCCAAATTATACAGAAGTACTTTTGACTTTAGCAAGATAGTTCATGTAAGTAAGTAAGGCAAGCAAGAATTGGGTCTCATTATACACATAAATAGCATATAAAAATTTAGCAGTAGGATTAATACCGGCATATTTTTATGGTACATATGAAAAAAAAAAATTCCCATTTCTTTCTAGTTAGCTTCACAGTAAGCCATTTGTTTCAGTTCAGCTACAACCTGTGTCATTCTAATATATTATAAGTAATTATTAGAATTTTAAAGGGAGACTTAAAATTACCTCTTGTCTCTGTCTTTCCAATGAAATGATCTGCTGTTCAAGAGTATCTGTGGATGTGCTCTTCTTTTTTGTCAGCAATAAACACTTCAAATAAGGAGAGAGAAAAGGACATTTAAAAATAAGTCCTCCAAAATTATGCTAATTTACATCTACTGTACAGACTGCTTACACTCTGCTGTAAAGCTGGAAAAGGATATCACCTTTGTACCACCATGAAATGTTTTATGGTAACACAGTGAAAGCAAATAGATATCTATGCCTTTTAACATGTCACAAATGCCGTCATTTTTTGCCACGACAAAAAAAAAAGACAGCAATAGTTTGTGCCATGTTTTCACAGTGGATGTCTATTTGCTTTATGGCAGCAGTGGTTGGACAGCCTGAATCTGTCTACACTCTGCAGCTACCCTGGGCAGGCCCCGGCTGCATACTCTTCAAGCCACAGGAGTACCTGCCTGGCTTGCCCTCTTCCATAGATGTGCTCTCAGAATCTCCAGGGTGCCTCTCGATAAGCTGGGAACCCCAGCTTTCCCACTTACAGAGATGAGTCCCAGAGATTCCCAGGAGTGTGTCCCAGTTCATGGGGAACAGGACAATGGACAACGAGTATTAATCAATGAAGTGGATCAGATGATCCACTTAATTAGGCAATGTCTAGTTATTTCTTAAAGCAGCTATAGTGTGAATGTATGTTAGGGCCCACTGAAATCTGGGACACCTGTTTATAACAGGTAAGGTTGCAACTCACCGGGCACATCTACATGTTCAACTAATGTGATCAAATAAACTCCAGTGCAATTTGAGTCAGAGTAAACTAATCTGTCTTTACAGCAGAGTATAAGCAGACTGGTAGATGTAATTTTTCAATTGCTAACCAACATCACTGTCTACACATGTATTTAAGCGCAGTAATTCACTCCGCTGTTAGATAGTACCTGTGTCTGCTGGGACTGTCCAATAGCACTGTCAATTAGTCAATTAGTCTACACTGGCCCAATTGCCACGCACATGTAGACGGTGATGCTTTACTATGCAGTAAATTAGTCTACTACTCAGTAAAGCACACAAGTAGACATGCCCATTGTGAAATTTGACTGCATTACGGATTAAATATTTAAATAGCAGTTTACATAAAGAATACTTTCTTTTTACTAGTTAAGTTGATATTCTATTTTTTTTTAACCTTACAAGTATGTTTTGCCTCTTAAAACAATAGGATTTGGGTTCTAGGCTGCAAACCACTCTAGGCACAGTAATAAGCATGAAACATCCCAATCATTAATGATCACTAGTATGACAGTATAGTTAGCACCTGGATGATGCCTGGCAATAAGTGTTTGCGGGACTAGACAAATAATAATGGTCTGCACAATGGGTTTAAAAGGTACTGCAGAAAAGAACAGCAAGTTATTTATATCCATTATGGTATTAGGTTAATCTATCATTATTCAAATATTTTTAAAGTGGATTTTTCTTCAGAAGAAGTTTCAACTAAATCTTTACTTTTATATTGCTAACCAAACAACAGTCATTTCCAAAAAAAAAAAAAAAAGCTATCAGAGATTCTCCTGATAAACTATGATGCACACTAGATAGTAGGGCCCGTTCCACTTGGACTTCTGTTTCGATGTTTCAATGGAACAGTATTTAATTTTGAGTTTCATTTCATTTTAAAAGCACTGTTCCATTTCATTTCATCGAAACTGTTTTGCTGTTTTGATGTTGTCTTGATGTTTTGCCCATAGGCTATTCTGCACCCAGCGCTGGGAAGATCAGTGCTGCCACCAGCCCCAACTGGCAGCACCAGCCTCCTGTCATCCAGCATGCAGATCAGGGACCCGCACCCGTGGGAGGAGTCCGGCACAGCCCCGCAGCCCTCCCGGAGGTGTGGGCAGGCCCCCGATCTGCCTGCCAGACGACACGAAGCTGCTGCCAGCTGGGACTGGCAATGAAGCCATGTAGGCCTGGCTTCAAAATTCAAAACATTTCAACACTTTCAAAACATTTTGAGTGCCCTTGTTTCATTTCAAAGCTGTTTTGAAGGCTTTTGTTTCATTTCGATTTCACTGTTTTGAGCTCGAAATGCATTGTAACAGCTTTAAAATGAAGCACCGGGAGAAATTTCACACAACCCTACTAGATACATTGAATAAGAGAACTGTAATTGAAACGTATCATGTGCCCTCTGGCACACGGCATGTTACCCCAGGTGGGGTAGGGGAGGTGGGGGGGAGCCTTATCTGGGGTCTTGAGGGGCTCCTGGGACTGCAGCAATGGCAATCCTACCACATGGAGCCTGGCCAGCATCCAGTGTGTGGCTCTGGCCAGTCAGGCTCTGGTTTTGAGCAGCGTGCGCTACCTCCATGTGCACTGTTCTGCTCAGCTTTTTTTTGATGCAGGTATTTTTGATCCATGGATATTCAGGGGTCAAAAAAAACCCATGCTGCTTCATCGCAGTGCAGAGAACAGCTGAATGTGTGGTATGTAGTGCCACAGACAAGTCTGCGGTGCCATATACTGCACAGACATGCTTGTCTGGACATGGCTTTAAATAACCTAGTTAGAAGACCCAAGGAAATTTTCGGTCAGTACTGTGAGAAGCTGTAAAACTGAAGTACTTAAGTTCTTGAATCTTCAGAGTCCAATTTCTCTCGTCAGTTTAGAGAATTCAGTCAGCCACCAACCAAGAACTTCACAAAAGTAAACTACTTGTTCCTTTTAGTAATATTTACATGTTAGCATTGTATTCGATGCTGCCAAAAAGTTGTTCATCAAAAAACCCCCTGATAATATATTATGGCTCTCTCACTATCCTTGTGCGTGAAAAAAAATTCCATTTGGGTGTATGGGTGTTTCGTTTGTTTATAAATCACTCTTATTTTTCTGCTCTCCAGAGTTATGTATGATAGTTGCTATACCTATCAGGAAGAGTACATTGCAACAATCATGCAATATTTTCAAGGTCTGTTTGGCTTTATAAGCAAATCATGAAAAACAATGAGACTAAATCTACTCTAATCAACACCAGTGGAGTCTGAAGTACTTAATCTGAAAAAGCTGGATTTATTTTAAAATTACACTTATGAATCTGGCAATGGGATTTGCCTTTCATTCTTTTTCAATTGCATTTCTTCTGGAAATAATAGACTATTCAAGTTTATCTGGTTAACAACAACAGCCTCACAGGTTCATTCTCACACTTGTAAGTTTTATCTTTTTGTTTTTCTTTCACTGCACAATAAGGGTATTCCTGAAAATACAATAATTCTGTAAAAAATATATTATGTGAGCACTAACATTTGCAACATAAGTAGGAGTAGTTTGATAGTTCACTGTATTAGCTTAAATCTAGAAGCATCCTATACTCATGCCAATTTTACACTACTGTTGCTCTTGAGGTGCCAAAGCACTCAGACTCCAATACGACACAGGGCTTAGTACACCTTCCTGCTTAACTTTAAGGATTTGGGATCCCACACTGAGATCATGGAACTATCATTGTGTTTCAGTATTTTCAGGATCTGGGCCTTCAACATCTGAGTGTGACTACTCCCATCTATGTGCTATAAGCTTACCACTATATAGTACAGAAGCTGCTCACGGTTCAATTTCTTAAGGTTCACTTAAATATATATCAGTAAAACACACTATTTATCTAAAATGATGTACAGCAACCCAATATTACCCTATAGATTAAAACCTTGAGACAAAACTATTTTAATATCTGTGTATGACTACAACGGTTCATTGACAAAATGATATACTTTAATCTCTTATTGTAAGCTGCCCCGAGCCTTTTTTTGGGAAAGGAAGCATATAAATCAAGTAAATAAATGTCAATTAGTTTAAATATTTCCATTAAATAACATATCACTGATACTGGTTCCCATTAGACTTACCTTGGACTGCTGTGCCGAACTTTCCATGCTGCTTATGCTCATCTCTGCCCATAAAAGATGACCTCTGACATCAGTTTTGCTGCAAGTCTTGAAATCAAGACAAGGAAATAAATTGTATACCTCTATCCAACAAATGGGGGGGGGGGGGGGGGAATTCATTAACTTTCATTCATTATCCTCCCAGAAGAACCTCACACCTCTGTGGCAGAGCAATATAGAATAAGAGATAGGTGACGGAACTCTGATTTTATCTTTTTCCCCCTTCAAAACAGGGGCTTCCCAGAATGTCTAAAGCATGTTGTCTGTGACTAATACATGAGGCAGTACAGTTTTATATATATGTAAATTGCAATTCCCTCTGTTACTGGCTAAGCTAGCAGAGGAAATTGCACAGATGAGGAAAGGAAGAGTATTTTTTTTTCACAAAATAGCACCAGGGACTGGGCATTCTTTTCCTAGGAACAAAAGTATCAGTTTCTAGTTGGAACCAAGCCCTTTTCCTTGCCTGAGTATAGAACTTTCTGACATGACATTAAGACTTACTGTATTTGCTTACGTCAGAAAAAAATAGTGAGTCATACTTAATGACAAGTACCAACCATGCTTGTAAAAAAAAAAAAAAAAAAAAAA